TTTTTCCTTTTTGTTCTTTTTTTAATTTTTTTCAAACAGGACATTTTTTTTTTTTTTTTATAAAACCCCCCCCCCCCCCCCCCCCCCGAAAACTAAGCTGGTATGTTCCTAGGAATGCCTGGAGTCTCATACAACCTAGTCTAAAGGTTGAAAGCCACTGGTTTAGGGGGTTGGTCCTGAAGAATCTCCAAATGTATCCTCTTGGAGATGCAGCCAGCTTTCCCAATGCATGAGACCATAGGCTTCTGTTTTCCCATCTGAAAAACAAAACTGTGCCCTTATTGGAACAGGGGCTCTGAATCCTGGGGGAGGAATCCCTCTCAGGGGTCAAGTAGGTCAGCTCTGGCAAACAGCCTCTGGGTTTGGTCAGGGTTTGATTTTATTCAGCTTGCTGTTTCTGCATAGTTTTCCATTAGATACCAGAAGTATTGGATTGCTTTTGTTTCTGGTCCTTGTTCCTTCTGGCATTTTATAAGTAATGCTTTATTGTGGAATAACACTATACTGTGGAATGGTCTTGATGAAGCAGGTGGGGTGGCTGTCCCAGTTCTACTTGGTGAAAGCTGTGGGCTGCAACTGTGCTTAAGGCTGGATTGGGGCTGTCCCTGATTTATTGACCTCCAGGGCTTCAGCTACATAAATTCTTGCCCAGGAGAGCAAAAGAACCCAGAAGATTTTCTTTTGTTGTTGAGGAGAAGCACTTGGCTTGTGAAAAGACCAAGTACATTAATTGTTTTAACTTGTTGGCTGTCACCTGGGGGTGCTCGTACCCCTAGGGGTTCTTAAAAAGGTTGCAGGGGGTGCGCAGAACTGATGTGGCTGATTTTTAAATACCGTATGCATGTGCACAGCTGCAGCGCAGCCTGGGAGCATGGAGAATAGTTGGGTCTGGCTTGTTAGTTGGTTTGAGGAGGGGAGGGGGGCAGATCAAGGCCCTGGGGGAGGGAATGGGGCTGCCCAGCTGCTGTGGGGCACAGGACTGAGCTGTGCATGGGTAGGTGGGGCTCCCACTGCACCCCTGGGAGGGCATGAGAGGTGCGTGGAGGCAGATCTGCATGCAGGGTGAGGGCAGGCTGCCACTGGACTAGGGCCAGGGTGGTACTGGGCTGTTCCCAATGGGGTGTTGGGCTGGGCTGGGCTGCGCTTGGGGCAGGCAGTGGTGGCACTGGGAGTGGGGGCTACTGCGAATTCTGGAGTGGCTGCAGCCCCTCCTGTAGACCCCCTCCCAGTGCTGCTTCTGCTTGCCCTGAGCACAGCCTGGCTCCGCTTCTCGCTAGGAAGAGCTTGGCACTGCCCTGGCTCCAGCCCATAGCGGCAGCCTTCCCTTGCCCTGCACACGGATCTGGGGGCACATGCCCCCCCATGCCCTTCCATGGTGCATGCAGTGACAGAAGCTGCACCCCCTCCCTGTGCCCCCTGCATGAGCTACTTGCAGCTCTGTTCCATGCCCTGTTCTGGCTGTGCAGTGCCTGCCCCAGCCCCCCACCCTCCCTTACCGCAGGGGCCTCGATCTGCCAACCCCCCCCCAAGAAAAAATACAAAGGGGTACATGAGCTGAAACTGAGACAGAAGGGATACACTCGTTATAAAAAAGTTGAAAACACCCATTTTAACTGATTTTTGTCAGCTTATAACCATGTCACACTTTCACTGAAACAATAGTGAACAACATATACAGCAATGGAGAAAGTCCAGCCTGCCACCCTCTTCATGAATAAACCGCTGTCTGGTGTTTGACATGTCCTGGAGCAGTTGGTTTTCAGCATCTGCCTGGAAGCTGGGCTTGCTTGATATCTTTGTGGATGAGATCTGAAAACCTTTATCCAAATCTATGTTTTGCTCTGGTTGAGACCAAAACCCACAAAGAACCTGTCTTTTCGTAAGTGGACTACAGGATAAACTCCCCATCTATTCTGTGCAGTTTTACTTGTATTGAATCCAAACCCAATCCCACTTGCAGCCTTGAACTGGGCCTGATCCTGGTGGAGACTGAAGGAGCCTTCTTCCTTGATCTGCGTTGAGCTGGGTCCCTGCACACCATCTGGGTTAGAAGATTCTCTTCCTACTGTTGCTGCTCAGTGTCTTGCTTCCCAGCATCCTTCAGACACCGGAGGCAGATTCATAGATGTAGGGTTGGAGGGGACTTGAGCAGATCATCAAGTCCGACCCCCTGCCCTGGGCAGGAATTGAATTCTGGGCTCATGTGACCTGTAAAACACTTGATGACTTGTAAAATACTAATTAATTAATGTAAGGCTGGAATTCCTTTTGGCTACTTGGGGCATGACTCAGTGTCCTAAGATTTTTGCAGAGCTGGACATACAACCTTCAAGATGCACCAGGCACAGTTGATTCAGTCTAGCAAGTGCTGCCACTGGTAATGTGTGCTTTGCTGTGCTGTTGGAACCAAGCCATCACTCATGGCAGCAGTGTTGCCTGTAGAGAATCCTTGATATGTCCCAGTCCTGCTAGTACAGTGCTTGGAGCTGGTGAGCCTTAACAAATCAGGACTAGAGAAACTGATATCACTTGCTGTACTAGAGCAACAGCTTCAGTAGGCTCTCCTGTCAGCAGGCTGGCAATTGCTGCATGGCAAAGGGAGGGTCTTTCATGCTTGTCGTTGAAGTTTTATGGACTCCTGTGATGCTCCCTGTTTTTTCAATGGCTCCCAAGCCTGCCTGCTCGTTTTCCCTCAGTTCAGCAGAGCTGCCTTGTTACAACCTAAAATACAGGGACTGGCTTCCTGCTGGAAATGCTGCAACTATACAGGAAGCTTGCTGGCAGGAACTCCAGCCCTGGGAAGTGTCCCAGGCAGGAAAGGTAGCTGGGTGTGGGGAGCAGCCTTGGCACCTGCTGTGGGTGCTTGTACTTGCATGGCAGTGACCTTCCTGCTGGAGATGCCAAGGAGCAAGTGTTGCAGAGCCTCCCTGCCCTAGAAGCTGGCTGGGGCACAACGGACTGCAGCTTGTGCTGTGTAGCACTTGCTTTTGTTGGCTCCAGGACTGGGAGCCGGGCATGTTCCATGCTCTTGGCAGCACTGGGAGTTCTTGCTTTTTGGCAGCACTGACAGCTGCCTTGTGGGGAGGACCCACTCTACTAGTGACTGAGTACAGGCCTTCCCACACAATAATACCATTGCCATGCTGAACAGCCTGCTTAAGGGATTGGGAGCAATTGTACGATCCCCTGGCATGGCTTAACTGGCTGTACGGTTATGTCTGAAGCTGTGAGGAAGCCATGCACAGGCATCCCAACTCTCAACCCCATCCCATGAATCCCCACTGTAGCCAAGTGGGGAATGCTTACCTGCCTGTGCTCTCCAGACTTCCTATGTTCTCCTTTGACAAGCTGCCATTTTTCTCCATTCTTGCCCTGCTTGGAAAGGGAGAGTATTTTTTCCCTGCAGGTTACTTGTAGGAATGAACGACTTTCATGCCAGCCTCCTGAGTAACCAGGCTAGAGAGCACTGTTCTGGGCATATCTCTGGTACCCACTAACCACATCCCAGTGCAGGATGGACCCTGCTGGGGTCTAAACATTCAGCTCCTTTAACCTCCTACTTGAGCTGTCATGCTCCTGCTCTAGTCCAGATTGTCCTGTTTGCCAGGGAACTCGCCACTGTGCATTGCTTTAGGACACCTATACACATGCAGAGGCTGCTCCAATGCACTGTAATTACAAGTTCAACTAATCAAGTTGTCTGGAGTTTGGTAATTACCATGCTCCAGCAGCCTCCTGCATCATGTGTATCAACGTCCCTGCATGGGGCGCTTTAACTAAAGCTTGTTTGAGCTTTAGTTAAAACACCCCTGTTGCAGTTTTCCAGCGCAGGGATGCTGATGCACATGATGCTCCAGGTACTTTATATAGATATGGCTCTTGGAGCTGCTCTAATTAAAGCACACCCCCCACCTCTTGGAGTACATGTATAAATGCCCTTTAAAGCCTGGTAGGCTTGAACAGCACTAGTCTTTTGAGTCCTCTTCTTGCTGAAGCTTAATTCTGGGCCAAGCAGGGATTCACTTAGAACCAGGCAGTACAGAGCAGTGTTGCACTCTGGAGAGGACAGCTTGGGGTCAGAAACTCAGGGAGGTGTTCTCAACTCAGTACTGAATTGTTGGTCTGTCATATAGTAGAGAAATCCAGTGATCTAAAGAGAGCAGTTGCTGGCTTGCATGTGTTTCAGCAGCTGTCAAACTCAGATGCATGAAGCAGTGTAAAGAACCAGCTGAGTCTCAAGTAGTCTTGGCACCAGAAAGAATTAAGTCAGTGTGGATGCATGTAACCTGCAACAGTTCAGTGCCGTCCCACAGGGCTTTGAGGACCTTTCAGAACCTCCCAGAATCCCATTTCAGAAAGCTTTGCCAGGATGTGGAACAGCAATGGCTGGAGAACTAAGTGAGATGGTTAGGGACACCGCAAGTAGACATGGAGCGTGAGTGTAATGTTAGTTGAAGCTTACCCACATACATGAGGGCAGTGTTCCAAGATGGTGACTTCTGCTCTAACTACCCATGTAGCCACTCGGGTTCTGCCCCAGGAGTACCTTGCAGTCCACTTCAAAAGTAAGTTAAGATAAAACCAGAGGCTAGTGCAGAATAACTGAGCACCTCCTCTATATAATGTATATCAATTTTCTGAATGGTAAACAAACCCAATAACATCAAACCACCTTTTGTAAAATACTTGAAGCTCTGGGGAGAGAGGGTTATATGCCAGGTAACATAGTGACGTGACATTATCTCATGATACTGTCTTGAAGTGGAGGCAGAGCCCCTGCAAAAATTCTTACAGCCTCTTTGTATTTCAGAGCTGCCTCCATCTGAGTTCATGCAGGTGGTGGATTCCACCTGGCTGGTGCTCAACGTCTTATCCAATGGCAGATCGTCTACCAGCTTCCAGGCTGCAGGAGTGACAAAGATTGCCAAGTCAGTTATTGCACCGCTGGCAGAGCACAATGTCTCAGTGCTGATGCTGTCTACCTACCAGACAGACTTCATCTTGGTGAGTCCCATGCCCATGATCTAGAGTAAGCCCTCTTGGGTATAGGGTAGGAGTGGAGGCCCCTATCTGGCCTTAAGGAAGAAGATGGGGAAGCGACTTCACAGAGGTGCATTTGAGTAACAATAACCAGAGCTTTTGCACCATTCATCTATTGCAGAGTTGTCAAAAGTATGGCGCACAGGCTGGATCTGGTCTGCAGAGCCCTCCCATTTAGCCCCCAGTGCTGCCTCTGAATCTGATCAGACCCACACAGGGCACAGTTCATACCCACAGCATGGGGCCAGTCTAAAAGGCCATTTCAGGCCTGGGGCACAATGCACATCTGTGGCATGGGGCCAGTCTGAGGGCCAGATTGGGCCCATGTACCCCTTTTTTCCCGTCCCCATTATACCTCATCTGATAGCTGCTCTAGTTGTCTAGAATCAGCAATATGTGCAGCTTAGTCTGGCTGGAGTGGCAGCTTTGCTGCACACTGCCTGCCCTGGCCAGACTGCACTGTATATGGCTCCCACTTTGTGATGTCCACCACACGTAATGCCTATTCCAACTGGCCCAGGACCTGCATGGCACATGGCACCTGCAGGTTCTGCATGCAGCATAGGTCCTGAAGCTGCTGGGGTGGGCACCACGTGTGGTGTGGTCTGGCTGGGGTGGCTACCTCAAGCAGTTCACCTGCTGTTCTGACTAGATGGTGCCATCTTGCAGCACCCATTCTGACCACTCCAGAATCTGCACCACATGCTGTGCAGATCCCAGACTAGCTGCAGTGGCTGCTAGATCAGGTATGCTGGGGGCGGGGGGGCTGTCTGGCCTGTGGACCAGCCCATGCCACTCTAGCTTGTGGGCCCTGGTGATTTTGATGCTCCTGATCTACATAGTCAGATGAATGTATTCACTTCCTGGACACCAGGTTGTGATTCAGGGTGTTAAGTAGTGGAATGCTCTTCTGAGGGTGACAAGGGTGAGTCTTGTAACAAAAAGGGAGGTCCTAAAGGGATCCTCCTTCTGTCTACAGTGGTGATGCAAGGTGCTTAGTTGAAATGTGTTAGATGGGTCAGTTGGGTTAAAGAACTTATTGAATCTTGGTTCTTCTTTCAGTGTGTGAGCAGGAGGAAGGCAGAGGGGACCAGTAGACTCTGGGGGATAGTGGAGGCTAAGCTAAAGCATGAGCAAGGAAACATTTCTCCTCCCCTTCAGGTACGGGAAAAAGACCTGCCAGTAGTGATCCATACACTGGCAGGAGAATTTGATATTTACAAGGAAGTGAATGGAGAGTCTGTTCCTGTTAACTGTGATGATGTGAGCAATGGCTTCTTGAAGCCCAAGCCTGGTAAGTTGCCTCCCCCCGGACCCCATCTAACACTTGTCAAATGTCTACATCAAATAGCTACTCAGGAACACCATAATGAAGCACAGGCTGTCCCCTGACCAACAGACAGAAGCAATGCATATGCCTTAATGGTGAATGCCCAGCATCACGTTAAACACTCCAAGGGAACAAGCTTACTGCAAGGCTGGCACTGCAGTGGGCCAAGTGTATTTTCTTTGCGTCTACTGTGTTATGCTTCACAGTGGCATTCCCTGTGTTCCTTTGGTGTGCAGACAGGCAAGAAACGAGGACCTTGTCACTTCTAATCAAGCATGGGTTTACTTCTGAAGTCAGTACAGACAGCAGCCCAGCACAGTCCATGCTGATGGGGCCAGTTTCTCATAGAGCAAATTTTATGATAGACAGCAGAAATGTTTAGAGGTCAGGAAAGAGCTGCAGGCTGGTCAAGGGGTGCCAGCAGTGGTCACTTTAAGTTTCCATTTGTGGGTGGCTTACAGAGAATGCTTGGGTGATTTGATTTATTTATTTTTTTTAAATGATCTAATCGACAGTCTCTATTATTTACCTGAATCTAAGACTACTTGAAGTTAAGAAACGCCCCCCGCCCCCCTTAATTTCCATGTATACAATCAATTTTAAATTTTGTTATACTTGTTCCACATACAAAATCTGGTTATTTGAGGGTTGTCATCTTAAATTTTTTGTTTTCTCATCATCCCCCACTGCTGTGGTGTGGAAAGCAGTGTATGTGTATATGTGGGCTGGAAGGGGGGGGGGGGTTAAGGGACACATCCCCCATGTCCTGTTGTTCCTGTCTCCTCTCTCCCTCCCCAACTTGCTGTCTGGGGTAGTTGGCAGCAGCCCTGGTCCTGGCCCAGCCAGACAGAAGTTGCAGCGGCAGCTTTGGGTCTGGCTGGGTTGGAGCTGGAGGGGACAGAGCCAGAGCTCAAGGTAAGCAAGTGGGGGGTGCAGTTGAGGGGTGGGGAGGCAAATGGCCAGTTGAGACAGCAGGGGCAGACTGCACGGTTCCCTCCTACAAGTGGCACACCACAAGTTTGAGCTGAGCTCCCACCTGCCCTGGGCTGGTACTCAAGTATAGGATAAGCCCCACTGTTTCCCCCTCCCCTGGAAAATAACCTTGTTTTAGAGTCAAGTAATTACAGCAGTTGCTTATGGCCATCCAGCAAACCTTTTATTGGCTTGTTTATAGGAGCTATGATACAAAATCTAGTGTCCTCAACATGGTCAAATGGTGAGCCTTGTAACCATTTATAAGACCTTTTATATTAATATTCTGCATATGGGATAAAAAGTTATTTTTAGTAGCACATCCACCGCTAGATGGTGCCAGCACCTCAGCTTTGATTCCTGTTGTGCCCCAGCTCATAGCAGGTGCCAGCTAAAGCTGTGTGCACATGTTCATGGAGTGTCCTGGGCATGTGCACGACTGGCACATCTACAGAGTGCCTTCAGAGGTAGGCTCTCCAGCCGGGGGACTTGCCCCCACCTCCAGAGGAGCCTATCATGGGCTCTCCTGATCTACTACTGGCACCGCAGTAATAGCTGATTGGGCTGCCTGAAAACTTCAGTGCCAACAGCTAATCAGGTGGTTCACATGCCCCCCCCGCACTCCATCTGGACTGTGGCAGGTTCCTCAGCCAAGCCCAGGCCAGCTCCAGGGGGTAGCCTGGGCTGTGGCACATGGTGAGTCCCACCACCCCTGGGCATGTAGTGGGACTGGGGTGACATGGCATCTGGACTTGCTTCCCAGTAGCTCCTGGCTGCAGCCCCTGCCAGCCCTGGGCCCACTGGCCAGGCACCCCAGCAAATCTGCTCCACACCTACTGCTGAGGGTGGGACCCATGTGGGTAGGGTGTGTCAGTAGGCAGATGGGATGGGGGAGTTGTGTTTAGGAGTGGGATGAGTAGGTGAGGCTGGGATTCTTGGGTCAATGACAGCTCAGGGCTGGGACAGAGCCACGAATCACTCTGGTGCCAGTCATGGGTGTGCAGGCAGCGGATCACGGCTCTGCTGGGATGAGGGTCGGAGCTGGGATTTGGAGGAGCCCTTGTGATGAGTACTGGTCTGTGAGGAGAGGATCATGGCTCTGCCCGAGGCCCTGGCCCTGTGCTGTCACTGCTACATGATCCCAGGGGCACATGGCCAGGCAGACAAGATGGGGCTGCTTAGGGGGTTTTGGTGAGCTGTTGTGTGGCAGGGTGAGGGGTGCTGCAGTACTGACCTGGCCAGTGACAGCTCACCAAAACTGTTTGTGGCCCCAATAATTGCCCACCCCTGAGCTACTGAAATCCAGACTGTTCATGGTTTCCCCCCAGCATGAGCAGGAAAGCTGGTTCCTACCCAGTGTGGCCTCAAGGTGGCACTGCTGTGATGTGCCAACTGCAAGCACCAAGGCAAAGTGCTCCCTGATGAGTTTACTCAGATTAGCTGAGACTTAAGGCATCTAGGAGGCTTGGTATTCCCAGTCACCCACTGCACAGTGCAAAGTACATCTCCCTTTGGTGCTGTGTGTGGCTGTTCCCTTCAGATATATGGTGCGGAGCTTTTGTAGTGCTTATGGAGGACTGCTCGGCTGGTGCTTGGACTGTGCTAATGCTTATGTCTCCTCCCAGCTGCAAACCCCACCGTGCACCCTGTGCAGAGTCCTCAAAACAAGTTCTGCATCCTGACTGTGGCTCCTGACACCCTGCCAGCTATTGCAACCACACTTATGGATGTCCTGTTCTACTCGCACAGGTAGGAGGCTGCAGGGGCTGTTCTTGGGAAGGAAAAGAAAGGCCTTAGCTTCACCTTCCAGTGAAGTTATTTCCATTGGGGTGAGCACTGCACTAGTTGGCCTCAATGTGGAATAATGGGCTATTCCTATATCTGAGATGCTGACAATGTGATCTGTTAACTCCAACAGAGGAGATCCTACAAATGGCTCCACACTAGCTGTCCAGGAAAGCCAAGGGTTGGCAGCTGTGTTCTGCTTCACGATGAGATAGGATGGGGGGGCAGGGCAATTGTGTATCCCTGCATCTGGGGCTAACCTCTCTTCTGCCCCTTCCACCCCTCCCTCTCACCACTTTGTTTTGCAGCCCTCCAAAGGAAGCTGCCCCAGGCAGCCAGGATTTCGACTCCATTGCATTCTTTGCCTTCTCGCTGATTGAGGGCTACATCTCTATTGTTATGGATGCAGAAACACAGAAGAAGTAGGTATCCTCTGGGATGCAGGTCAACCATGTACCAGGTCTCTGATGCATTCCAAGCTACAAAATTCTGCCTATATGCTTTAATACTTGATTGTGGGCATGGGGTTTCTGAGGTGTGTGCTCTTCTCCTTGGTACCTATCCACTCCCTTTCTTCTTCCAGTGTCTGTCAGTTGGTGGGCCCTTCAGATGGGTAAAGCATTTAGCAAGGGAGGCCACTGATGTCAGGAATTACAGACCTGTGACTGGAACAGGCAGGAGGGTGGAGGACCCTATAGGGGGTAGCATTTCTTGGGTATGGGCACTGGCTGTTGGGGGCCTGAGGCCCAAGGTAGGGATAATGTACTCGGTGACCAGGTTTATTTGTTGGCTGTTTTCTTTTTTGGTAGGTTCCCCAGAAACCTGCTGCTGACCAGCTCCACAGGCGAGCTCTGGAGGATGGTGAGAATTGGTGGGCAGCCTCTGGGTTTTGGTAAGTGGAATCTTCACAGCATCATCTGTCATCTCCCTTAAATGTTCCTATGGCCCCTGTCATGTGATACTTGAGAGCCTCCATCTGTACTACAGTAGTCCTTTGGTGCATATCTGTGAAAATGGGAATAAGAGCCCTGCCTGCCTTAGTGAAGAGCTGAGCCCAGATGAATGCATGTCTGCAGCATATCTTGGCAGGGCTGTCCCTCAGTATGGCCTGTCAATGCATGCCTATGGCCACTTTCTAAACCCAGAAGTGTGCTGGTAAAGCTGCTTGGCAGCTCCTCAAATACTGCAGACACATGGAGGGGTTCTGCAGGCATATCTCTGCCTTTGGAATGTGGTAGCAGGTGTGGGCATGACCAGTTGAGCTGGGATATGGCACAGCCACAGTATAAATAAGCATGAAGTGCCATGCCTAAGGCTGCAGGAGAATTCCACATCCGAGCAAAGAACTGAGGTCCTTGGCTAGTGTTCTGTCCATCCTTCACCTCACCAGTGTCCAGATGACAATGATACATGAAGTGAGACCATGTGTCTTGCTGCTTCCTTCTTTCCAGACTTGTACTCCTATTGATGCTCAGTGGCAGAGGGGCAAGTTTTAAGTTACCTGAGTGCCAGCTGTCCAGTAAGCCAAGAGAAACTGATCTCAGTAGTCACCCTGGGAGTTCTTAAGTACAAGTCTAGCAGCTACATATCTAGAGGCCACGGGGGTGAAGCTGACATGATTGAGCTGTGTGGGGGCAAGCACTGTTTAGGCTTCTCAAGCACACTGACAACACACTGTGCCCTCTTCCCCTTTTGCAGAAGAGTGTGGGATCGTAGCTCAGATTGCTGAGCCCCTGGCTGATGCAGACATATCGGCCTATTACATCAGTACCTTTAACTTTGACCATGCTTTGGTAAGTCAGCTTATGTCCCAGCAGACTGAAAAGGCTCAAGGGAATGAGAATGATGCTAGCAGGCTAACTTCCTGTCCCTGATTGGTGAGCTGTTTTGTACTCACTGGAGTCACTTCCTCCAGCCTTGGCAGCTGGTGGGTGCAAGGGAGAGCCCAATCGGGAGGCTGTAGGACCAGACATTCCACAGAAGTGAGGCTGTCCTGACCTGCACTGTCTGAACAAGGCTTTCCCCGTTGGCCTTAAACCTAGACTTTTCATATCTGCACAGTGCCAGCCTTACTCACTGTGTCTCCTAGCTTAGAGTGACTCCATGCCGGGTGGCACTTCAGTCTGGTCCTTCTCCCACCAGTGCAGGGTTCAGTTCCCCTTTGTGTGGTGACTGCCCGCAGTGGGAGGCATTGGAATGCATCTCATTCAAAGAATGAGTCCCATTGGCCCCCGCTCCCTTGTGCATAAGCTCTGAGCCTGCTCTGCAGTGTGAGAAACTACTCCTGTGGTGATGCAGAGGCCCTGGGGGTGGTGGGAGGGACCTCAAGGGGAGAGGAAGAGGTTTGTCAGCACTTGGCTGTTGTGGTGGTATGGGCTGCCTGTGCCAACTCTGCATGCAGGCCTGAAAGAAGAGGTGAAGTCTGGTCTGGGTGAACCCTGCCTGGCTACCACTTCCTTCCTAAAGTAATGAAGCACCTTCTCCAAGTTGCATGAGGGTAGGAGAAGCGTAAGAACTGCTGCCCTTGCCAAGTTGAGAGAGGAGAGCTTGGGAAATCAGACCTGGATGCCCTTTTAAAATGGGGAAACTAGAGCATTCCCTATGGAACTGCCTAGGCAGCAACTCAGACATTTGTCCAGTTATCTTTCCAGCTCCCATCTTCCAAGCCCAATTGGTGGCAGCAAAGATGGTGACCTACAGTTGCAGAGCAGACATGTAGCCTGTATCAAGGATTGGCATTGGTAATAATAGGCCTTGCTTTCTCTCTGCCAGGTCCCAGAGGAAGGCATCTGCAGCGTCATTGAAGTGCTCCAGAAACGCCAGGAGAGTGGCAGATAACTGGCATGGTGTCTCCTCTGTGCTCTAACACCCATCTGGAAAGATGAGGGTGTAGTTCACTGCCTGACACAACGCAGTGGGATTGTCGAGTGTTCATGGGACTGGAGAGAGAACACTCCACTCCTGTTTCACAGACGGCTGGCCTGGGCCTCTTGTTAATCTTCCAGGCTTCTGGAGAGTGGTTTGAACTGCTGCACGTGGGGTCAGAGGGACATGTGGGTCAGAGGGACATGTGTCTTCAGGTGGATTCCAAGAGGAGAGTTTTCTTGTCACTCTGCAAGAGTGTGAGCTCTCAATTCTTCCCAGAGCATCCCATGAGCTAACTCCAGTTGTTTCCTCTTGCAGGCTCAGTATTGCCTAATTCAGCACCCTTTCTATCCCCACTGTCCCCACATCCTGTCTTGAACCAGGGAGCACAGTACATGATGCACTAGGAACTGGTACTAGGGAGAGATGTTTTGCACACCCCTTGATGAGTTCTCTCAGCTCAGTTCAATTGGGCACTCTTTTTTCTTTAACTACTTTTGTAGCTAACTTCACAGTTGCTTTGAGCTTCCTATATTTAATTTCTCCAGATTTTTGTGATGCCAGGTTCAGGCATCTGCTTTTCCTAAGCTGGGTCTACTTTTCCTAGACTTTATCTAGTGGGCATCTCAAAGTGGATATGGCCAAAGACGCATGTTCTTTTTGTGAGTAGGAGGCCGTGGCTGATTTGCACGAGGAGACATGTTGGCCGTTGGGTTGCTGTGGAAAAGGATGCTTGTGGTGGTCTCTCTCTACGTGGTCGAGGGTGTGGAGAGAAATGGGTTGCTCTGGGTCATGTAGCGTTAATGACCCTGATGTTGAGAGCCTGGGATAGACATGCTGCTTCCAATATAGAAACCCATGTGCAAATTAAGCTAAGGGGATGAAGGTCCCTAAATTGACCTTTTACTGTAGAAGTGCCCTCCCAGGCAAGGAGGGCCAGAAAGCTTGTTAGGACAGCTTCTTCCCCTTGTGGGCTAAGCTCCTCCATGGCCTTAAAGCCATTCTAGGGCTGGCTAGCTGCAATTAATGTTACACTTTTTTTAATCTTTTGTATTCCAAGCAGTAAATCCACTGTCTTCAGCACTGGTGGTGAAGTGGCTGATTGACAGGTATGCTCTGGACTTCCCAATTTGCCCTCGGGTGGGGTGTGTGCCATGAGGGTAGTGCTAAACAATCCCATTTCCAAAGGATCTTGGGTTGATTTGCTGCCTACTTCAGGGAATGGGCATTGTGTGAAGGGAGGGTGGTGGAAATGTGCAAAGCTGCTGGTAGTGAATGATGGCAAGAATTCCCTCGATTGGAGCAGTGGTGCTGGGAAAGAAGCATGTGTCCAAGAGGTCTGAGATGAAACAGCCTATGTTGCCTTTAGTAGTCAGGGTAGTAGCTGTAGCAACACTTGTGATCTACAAAGAGGTATCCAGGAGCTTAATTGTTCTTTATCATGCTGATTTCAAGGGATAGAATAATCCAGTCACCTTTTCCTAGAGCAAAAAGTTGGTATTTCCCTTCTAAATGGGGGTGTGCTGGGAGCCTGGAATTCCATCCTCTGGAAGCCAAGGTCTGTGACCCCTGCTCTTGTTTTTGTGCCTTTTTTTTCTATGGCATCTTAGGACTGGACCTTCTTGGGTCTGTTGCCTTTAGTGGAATGCCCACAGCTCTGCCAGTATCTTGCTGACTTCCAGAGACGGTGGTAGGTTTCTGGTGCATCACTGAGGGTCTGTCTCCTGGGTGGTGGCCACCCTGTTCAGCATCAGGGTAGGGAAGCTGCTTCTCGGTGAATGGGTGATGCTTGTCTCTCTTGAGCTTGTATACACAATGTAGAGGAGTGACATGGCCGCTCAAGTTCATAGGAAAAGACTTACATGAAACACTCCTGCTCTCATTTCCGTTTTCAGTGTACCTGTTTCTTACAGGAAGTAGATTCATCATTCAGCAGTGACTTAGAAGCTGGAAGAATCTATTTTTCTTGGATTTCAAGCTGCTACTCTTTCTGTTTCAAAGGCTTTAACCTCTACAAAAGCCTGGCTGAATGGACACTACCAACACTGCCAGCTGGGGTAATACTATCCTGATGTCTTACCCCTGCTGTGTTCTGTTGTATCAACCCTCTTCCCCCAAGTGAGCATCTAGCCTGGAACCAGGGCTGTTGGAAGCACTCTTTTAACTGGTGTGCTGTTCTGCAGCCATGAAGATTTAGGTGTGGGGCTTTGGTTTTTACTGGGGCTAAGCTTAGTTTCTCAGAACATATTTAGCCATGGGACAATGCCTTCTGGAAAAGGCTTCAAATCCCTGGGCAGTGGCCTCTGCTGTCTTGGATACAGTGCCTAGAGAAGACCTTTGACTTCCTGTGGAGTTTCTTGCTGATGCAAGAAAGGGTCTGCCAGCAAAACCAGGCTTCCTTTAAAACTTCTATTTTTGCATAGTTTTTAAATGAGTCAATAAAACTCCATTTTCAAAAACCTGAAGTTCTTGTGCGTCTGTCTTGTGGTGAAATGCAGGGAATAGCACCTTCAAGGGACCTGGTGTTCAGTTTCACATTACCTGAGGCCAAACATTAGGGAACCTCATGGCATTCTCAAGGGATACAGCACTAAAGGATGGAGAAGCACATCCTCACCTTGAATTGAACAAAAGGAGATGGAGGTAGAATGGTGGAAGATATGATCACTCTTACAAGAGCAGTCATGGAGTTAATATTGAGGGTGGGAAGGCTTTAAGGCTGAAAAACCCCAAGCAGTCAAGGTCAAGTAGTTATGGACTTGCCTAGATGTAACTTTTATATAGAAATCATATTTTAAATTTCCAGGATATCTAAGTAGTGGAGCTTGGGGATGGTCTTCCAAGCCATGTGGTGCATGTGAAGAACCAGAATTGCCTTAAGAATGATCTGTATAAACTTATGAAAGGAATGGTCTGGTAGGCCACAGTTTATCACTCACCAGGGAGTATGTGAGATGTGGACTTGGATGTTTGCAGTCCCCAGGTTGGGGTATTAAGGTAACTCTCATGGTGTGGAAGGTGTCTGGTAATTCCATGCCTTGGGGCTCTTGCTGGCTGCCAGTTGGTGCCAGGAAATATTATTTTTTCTCCCCTCCTGAATGCTATTGGCTTCTGTTTGGGTGTTTCCCTTTACTCTGAAGCATTGGTCTGAAATGCTCTTGATGGCTCCTGCCAGTGTTAAGAAAATTCAGAGGTTTCTGGTTGAGCAGGCTGCTCTTTCACTCAGGATCACATTTGATTGCCAAATATGCAGGAATGACTTTTTTTTCCCTTAGATCAGATTGGCATAGCCAGTGGGGGTTCTTTACCTTTTTCTGTAGTATGAGGCATAGTCCTCTTAAGATTTGAGCATCTGCTACCCAGTTACTTTCCTGTTGTTGCAGTAGCAGGGCATTGTCTGTACTTTTTTCTCCACTGCTTTTACCTATGGCAAGTTATGGGGATGTTCTTGGTGTTTCAGGTATTTGCCTTATAATTGTGGTTGCATGAGGATTTGAAGCAATGATTCCTCAGGTTAACAAATTGCCGGTGAATGCATGTGACTGGGCTTGATGGATGAGAAACCCCCTCAAACCCCCCTTCAGTCCTACATTCCTATCCTAGTGCTATGATTTCCCAACCTTTGAAATTCTTGAATGCAGAAAATCTAGTCCCAAAGATCCAAGTTTTAAAAGTTGTTTTCAGCTAGTAGGATAGGCTTAAACTAGGATGCGACTGTCCCTCCTGGCCAGCCAAGCCATGTTCAGACAATCCAGACCCACTGCTGTGCTTTGGGGACAACTGTTTGAGTGTCTGGGGAAACTGGAATCAATCTTGCTGTTTCCTGACCTTTTGGGTGTGTCCAGACAAGCACAGTCGTGTGGTGTG